TTCGGATCCCGGGCGCACACTGCTTCTCCGGCCACGCTGAGGCCGCGTCCCACATACAGCAACTAGAAGGATGTGCAGCTATGACACACAACTATCTACTGGGGCTTTGGGGGGAAAAAACAAATAAATAAAAATCTTTAAGACTGGTTATCACAGCATGACCTAGGCAGGAATAGAAGTTGAGAAGCCTAATGAATGTTAAGGGGATATTCATATTATATTTAGAACAGAATTTATATGGTAAACTTTTTAGGTGTGTTGTAGACCATCTGTATGTTTAGAGTTTATCCTGGAGCCTCCTGAAGATTTTTAAGGAGAGAATAACTAAATTCAAAGTGATATTTAAGATCATTGGAGTTAACTCCCTGTAATTACTATTCTCATTATCAGCAACCACAAAGTAGACTATGGTGACTAGGCTATGATCACGTAGCCATAATTTATAGCAAGTCTTAAAGACATGTAAACACTGAGTAGCTTTTTTATAGAATTTCTTTTTTGTGTGTGAGGAAGATTAGCCTTGAGATAACACCTGTTGCCAATCTTCCTCTTTTTTGCTGAGGAAGATTGGCCCTGGGCTAACATCTGTGCCCATCTTCCTTGACTTTATGTGGGACGCCTGCCACAGCATGCCTTATAAGCAGTGTGTAGGTCTGCTCGCAGGATCCGAACCTGCAAACCCCGGGCTGCCAGAAGCAGAGTGCGCAAACTTAACCACTATCCTACTGGGCTGGCCCCTAGAATTTCTTTTTGATGTGAATTTTTTTTAAAAAATCCCTATTCTTCAGGTATTATATAGTAAGCCTAAGGAGGTTAGCAGGGAAAAAACCAACAACTTAGTGATCCATATCTTATAGCAAAATAAAAGAATTAAAAAGGATTGTTTCTTGTTGTTATTCAGATATTAGAATTTTTCACTATCTTCAGTAGATTAAAACAAAATAACAAAAAATATAATGAGTTAGGTAAAAGAATATTACAGTTAAAGTGTATTTCACAGTGCATGATTTCACTCGTATGTGGAAGATAAACCAACACACAGACAGATAGAACTGTTTGGTGGTTACCAGGGGCTAGGGGGATAGGGGGTGGGCACAAGGTGTGGAGGGATGCACTTATATGGTGACTGATAAACAATAATGTACAACAAAAATTTCCCAATAAAAAAAAAGAAAGTATATTTCTTATAGGTTAGGGCTTGCTTTTTTATTCAATTTGACAATCTCTGCCTTTTAATTGGAGTGGGTAGCCCATTTACATTTAATGTGATTATTGATATGGTTGGATTTAAATCTTTCATCTTGTTTTCTCTTTGTCCCATCTCTTGCTTTTTCTTGGTTTAATTAAATATTTTAATTCGTTTTATCTCCTTTGTTGGCTTATTAACTATATATAACTCTGTTTTGTTATTTTAGTGGTTGCTTTAGGGTTTATAGTATACATCTTTAACTTATCACTGTTTACCTTCAAGTGATATTATATCATCTCATATATAATATAAGAGCCTCACAAGAGTTTATTTCCATTTCTCTCCTCCTGTGCTATTATTGTCATCCATGTTATGTCTACATATGTTATATACCCCACAATATATTGTTAGAACTTTTACTTTAAACAATTATATATTTTTTAAATTTAAATAAGAAGCCTTTTATATTTACCCATATAGTTATTTCCTGTGTTGTTCATTCCTTTGTGTAGATCTAAATTTCCATCTGGTATCATTTTCCTTCCATCTGAAGGTCTTCACTTAACATTTTTTATGGTGCAGGTCTGCTGGTGATGAATTCTTGCAGTTTTTGTATGTCTGAAAAGTTTTTGTTTCACCTTCATCTTTGAAAGTTCTTTTCCCTGAATTCTAGATTGGCATTTTTAGCTTTCAGTACTTTAAAGATGATGCTCCACTGCAGTATTTCTGATGATATATCTGCTGTCATTTTATCTTTTTTCCTCTGTACTTAATTGATTTTTTTTTCCCTCTCTGGCTGCTTTTAAGATTATTCTCTTTATCACTGGTTTTAAGCAATTCAATTATGATATCCTTTGTGTGATTTTCTTCATAGTTCTTGTGCTTGGGGTTCAGTGAGATTCTTGATTAATGGATGTGTAATTTTCATCAAATTTGGAATAATATTGGCCATTATTTCTTCAAATATTTTTTTCTGTCACCACCCCCCTCGTCTCCTTCAGAGACTCGAATTACACATACAGTAGGCCACTTGAAGTTGTCCCGTAGCTCACTGATTGGGCTTAGAGGTTTTTGGGGGATGCAAGGTCAATCATTTTTTCTCTGCGTATTTCATTTTGGATAGTTTCTGTTGCTATAGCTTCAGGTTCACTAATCTTTTCTTTTCAATGTCCGGTCTGTTAATTTTATCTAGTGTATTTTTCATCTCAGACATTGCTGTTTTCATCTCTAGAAGTTCACTTTGGACCTTTTTTATATCTTTCATATCTCTAACATGTTCAGTCTTTTCTCTATCTTCTTGAATATGTGGAATACAGTTATTATAATAACCACTTTAATATTCTTGGCTGTCAATTCTATCATCCACATCATTTGGGGGTTAGTTTTAATTGATTGACTTATCTTTTCATTAGAGGTCATATTTTTCTGCCACTTTGTGTACCTGGTAATTTTTTATTAGATGCCAGACATGTGAATTTTACCTTGATTTGCCTATAAATATTCTTGAGCTTTGTTCTGGGAAGTAGTTAAGATACTTGAAACAGTTTGATCCTTTCAGTTCTTACTCTTTTGTTAAGTGGGACCAGAGCAATATTTAGTAGAGGGCTAATTTTACCTTACTACTGAGGCAAAAGCTTTCTAGTGAGCTACCTGAGACTACATGAATTATGATGTGTTTCCACTCTGGCTGGTAGAATCAGGACCTCTTCCCCAGCTATGTGTGATCTTTAGGAATTATTCCATGTAAACCTTTTCAGGTGAATCTTCCCTCTGCTTTGGGTAGTTCCCTAATATCCATTAGCTCATCAGTACTAAGCCACAGACTCGAGGGAACCCTCTGCAGATCTTCAGAGTGTTCTCTCTGTGTAGCTCTCCCCTGATATTGTGCCCTGTGAATTCCAGCTGCCTTGGCCATCTCAGACTTCCAGCTGCATCCTCTCAACTCAGGGAGCATGGCAGGCTCTGCCAGGACTCCCTTTCCCCATGCTGCAGCCTGGAAATTTTCTCTAGGGAGTAGGCTCGGGCAGTCATAGGACTCACCTCAATTGTTTTCCATCTCTCAGAGCTAACTCTCCTTCAGCGCCTTTGTCCAGTGTCTTGAATGCCTTCATTTTATATATTTTGTCTAATTTTTTAGTTCATTTAGGCAGAGGATAAATCTGATCCCTGTTACTGAATCTTGATCAGAAGTGGAAGTCTTTTGCTAATTAACTTTTGTGTGTGTGAATTAACTTTTTATTGAAGTATCAGTATAAGAATATACAGAAAAGTATACGAGTAGATGAATTTTCACAAACTGAACACGCCTTTATAACTACCACCCAGATCAAGAAACAGAACAGCCCCCCAGAGGTTCTCTTCATGCTACCTTACACGTCACTCTCCACCCCTGCAAAGGGAACCACTATCCTGACTTCTCACAACACAGTAAATTGCTAAGCTTTTTATTTCTGCTGTCCTCCTATTATTTTTCTGTCAGTGGGATTGTGTTTCATTGAAGAATTTGGTCTTCAACTTAAACAACTAGCTTGTAATTTGATCTTATTCTTATCTTTAATAGATAAATGATCCAGCACTGAGACACACAGGCCTCTACTGCAACCAGCTGTCATCCACTGACCTTCTCAAAACAGAACCAGATGGAACCCAGGTCAGTAAGAAAATTCTAAGCCCAGAGCTATCAAATGTACTCTAGATACACAGGAAACTTTGTGTAGCATCGTAGTTAAGAGCCTGACCTTGGGAGTCAGACCTGGGTGTGAGTCCTGGCTCTACTCTTCTTAGCTGTGTCATCCTGGGCATGTTAGGGAACTTTCCTGAGTGGCTGTGTAACCAAGAGAACTAACAAGATACCTGTTTAGAGGGTTGCTTATAGGAGAGGGTTAAATGAGATAAGCTTTCAGAAGTTTTAATCCAGTGTTTAGACAGGATAAGGGGATCACAAATGGTGGCCACTAATTGTTATTTTGTAAATAAACACTGTGCTAAAATTCATGTGTAATCAAAATATCTCAAAAGATCTTAGTAAATTCAGAACAGAATGCCTGCTGTGTACTCTGCCTCCTTTTAGAAACTTGTTTCAAAACAATACAAATAGCAAGGGTGGCTACTTTCCTATATGAACTTAAATTTTGGAGGTTTTAATTCACTTCAATAACTTTGGTTTAGTCTTTAGTCTCTTAATAAATATTTTTTAAAAATACAGGCATTATGCTAAGGTAGAGATACAAAGAAACATGAGACACGTTTGCCCTTTAGGTGAACTGTGCAGAGAAGTGAGGAAAGGAAGTTTCATTTGTGAAATGATTGTGATTGGCCAGGCACTGTGCTGTGCACTGTCTGCTTTATCTCATGTAAGCCTCACTAGAACCCTTTGAAGGAGGTGGTATTCCTTTTTTTCACAGATGATAAAACTGAACCTGAGGAGATTTAACTACATGCACAATTCACAAAGCTAGAAAGTGGCAGAGCTGAGGTTCAAACCCAGGTCTTTCTAACACCAAAGTTCATGTGGTTTCTGCCATACCACTTTGGGCCTGTTGAAAGATAAAACATATAGACATATGCACATAAATTATCATATAATCAAAAAAGACCAACTCAAATTTATGTTAATGCCACAAGCATTAAAAGAAACAAGAAATTGCTGAGCTGGTCTGAACAGCATTTACACAGGAGATGGGACTGAACTGGGCCTGAAGTACAGTTAGCAAGGCAAAGTGAGGGGGAAAGATACTATAGTTGTTGGAGGCTGGGGGCGGGGGTGAACTTGGAAGTCTAGGGTATTGAGAGTAGAGGGCACAGAGAGAGAGAAACAGTAAAATCTGAGCGTAGTACTGGAAAACCAAATCCCCTGAAGGTAAAGGTTTGTAATAAGAATTTATAGGAATTAAATTTGGTAAAGTAGATTGGGGCAAATTTCCAGAGGCTTTGAATGCTAAACTAAGGGATTTGGATTTAGTCTTGCAGAGGAAGCTTCATCCCTGATGGGGCGCAGCGATAAAAGTGCTAGTTTAGGCTTCATCCTGATGGGAAGGAGGGGAAAAGAGTAGCACTGGCGGCCAGCTCAGGAGGAGAAAGATCAGTTAGGAGGCTGTGTCCATAGTCGGAGCATTAGGAAATAGGATCTGAGGCCTCTGAGGGTGAAGAGGGGATTTTGTGATGGGGGAAATGAAGATAGTCTTCATTCACTAGAAGTTTTTGAAAGTCTAACACCTACAGAGACATATACTGGGAAGTTCGACAAATTAGTTAAAATATGACAACCAGGTTTTAAAGTTCTTGAGCCCCAGGACAGTATTTGAATTGGAGTAAAAACTATGGTGGAAAATGTTAAGAGGTTGGGACTCAGCTCTCACACCCCTCTTGTCTCCTGGCAAATTGTAAGCTTCATTTGCATCTTTGCCTGTCTGTGAAGATGTGGCAATATCAGAAGTCCTTTGAGGTCTGGTCTAAAGCACCCCATTTCTAAGTAATAGTTTGAAACGTGTACTTTTTAGAGTTTGGTTTAATCTTTTTGATTTTTTAAGTTTCAAAATAGAGTATGTTAAAAAAGCATTCTTTTTAAAGAAGCAGAATTTTCTCTCTAGTTTATCATGCCTTTATCAAGAATGTTTTTCAGTGTTTAGGGACAGAAACGCCTGTGCTCTGCCCCAATATTTCATATGTTGAAACATATAAACATGAAATTTTGTATGTTAATTTTTTTAAAAAATTAGTCAGTGCCTAAAAGCACTATACTGTGTGCTCATGTTAAGTTTCAGTGGCAGAATCTTCTTTCTGTTGTAGCCCGTCATGAAATCTCTGTTTGCTCCACTGTTTCTGTATTTGCCAAACAGAAGCTGGGGAGTGAGGTAGATAGAAATATGGAGACAGCTGTGCAGAAAAGGAGAAGGAGAAGACATGGAGAGGAGGACTGAGGAGGATTGAAGACCTGGGATGGGGAGGAAGCAAGACAGAGGAAAGAACAGCAAAGCAACACAGACTAGAGAAGCAGGAAGAAGGCTAGTAGGGAGATTGTTGACATGGGGAGAGCGGAATGCCAGGGGTGGAGCTCTTGAAGGAAGAGAGTAGGAATGAGAAGTCACAGAGAACAACGGGGGGGGGGGGGGGGGGTGCACAGAAGCAGCTAGAGAACAGACTCAGAGAGCTAGTGTATTTTAGATCCACAAGAAAGAGCCCCAAAGAAGAAGAAAACAAATGGGAGCATATGGCGGCAAGAAGCAAAATTTAGGAAAGTGGGGTGAGAGGAGGATCAGGAGAGAAACGATGCTAATCTAACTAGATTCATAGGTACTAAAAAAGCCCCACTCAGGAAATGTCTGCCTATCTGAGAGAGAGTAGATGGAGGTGTGGATGGATGGAGAGGACCAGGGGCCAGACTGATGCAGCAATTGGATGATTGGGACATTTGACATTTGGCCAATGAAGGGTACTGGAAAAACTTTTATTCAATTAGGATAGAAAAGTTTTCAGAAAAGCCAAGTGTAGTTAGCATGAATTAGTGATGAATGACCAAAAAAATGCATCACTAATCTAAAATACTTCACGAACCTATTAAACCTGAGGCACAAGTTTGCTAAACACTTGAGGCACTTATTTAGATGCACTTGGATGCCTGAGAAGGCATCTCCATTCTTGGTCTGGAACATTCACAAGTGTGATATTGGCCTTAATCAGTTCTTTAAATGACTTTTTAATAAGGCTGCTTGGTAAAGACTAACTTCTGGCTTTGTTTTCTCAGTAGAAAATGCTAGAACTATGCAACTTTAGACATTTTTAAGGAATACGTGTATTATAACTGAAAGTAGTTAAAGGGAAAATTCACACTGTTCTCAGCTAGTAGTTTACTGTTATTTTTAGTTCATGTGTTTAAATGGATTGTCTATCAGGAAAAAGAAGTTAAATATAAAATTGTTCTGCTAATATTTTGCTGTAATTCTAAAGTCAATCTGTAAAGGAGCTGTGCTATAGTACATTTAGATACTACACAAATCTTCTGGACATTAACTTTAGTAATGCTGATGTCCTATTACTGAATTGTGGTGGTGATGTTTTGCTAATACTAGGTTCAAAGCTCTTAATTTTCTAACATCATAAAGATTTTTTTATTCTACTAAAGTCATCCGTAGAATGTTTTTAAACCAGTTTTCCAAATAACACGTATTTTTTTAAACCCACCACTGGATACCCTGACTCTGAAACTGGGCTTTTCCCAATCTTGGCAGTATTAGCAATGATGCTCACTTTCAGTATTGATGTGAGCCTGTAGGAGGCTTGACCATTCCAATTTTGATTTTATTTTTAAAGTGTGAACTTTCCAGAACCCTGAGCAAAATGAGTGCAGCGATTTTCTTTTTGTAGGACAAGAAGACAGAAGAGTTCTTCTCTGTGGTGACTACAGACTAGAGGAATGCTCTAGTGAGTTTCCACTTCAAGTAGTACCCACTCATAAGCCGGGGGGGCAGACCCTTCTGTCTAAACACATCTTTTATTTGTGTTCCAGCAGGTGCAACAGGTTCAGGTGTTTGCTGACGTCCAGTGTACAGTGAATCTGGTAGGCGGGGACCCTTACCTGAACCAGCCTGGTCCACTGGGAACTCAAAAACCCACAGCAGGACCACAGACCCCCCAGGCCCAGCAGAAGAGCCTCCTTCAGCAGCTACTGACTGAATAACCACTTTTAAAGGAATGTGAAATTTAAATAATAGACATACAGAGATATACAAATATATTATATATTTTTCTGAGATTTTTGATATCTCAATCTGCAGCCATTCTTCAGGTCGTAGCATTTGGAGCAAAAAAAAAAAAAGGAGTTCACTTTTGTTGGGAGATTGAGAGATGTTTTTGTTTCTTTCTTTGTAAAGGCCTTGGATATTGAAAAAATAACAAGGCAGAACAGTTGGACAATCTATTTCTTGAGCCAAATTTAATTATTCTTATTTTTGTAATCAGTCATTGGCTTCTTATCTGGATGAAGGCTTTTGGAGGAGAACCAGAACGACAAGTTCCAAGGGGATGATGAAGCTCCGCCTCCACTGGCTCAGTCCCCACCCTGCCAAGGAAGAAGGGCCCGGTGGGCTTTGCCTGTGTCCATCCACCAAAGGCTGTCACGTGTCTCTAAATCAACAGCCCTCCCCTTCCCAACCCCAGGCAGCTTGTGTGTACAATCAGCTTCTTCTAGCAACTCTCTCTCTGTTGGCTTCAAGAGAATATTTTGCCTCCACATGTGTACTCCTTCTCCTTTTTTTAAAGATGGATTTAAACCAAGATGCCTCCAGGATCGAGGACGAAATGAGTATATTCACAGAAGAATCCAAAAAAATACAGTTTGGGGGAAAATGCAATAATTTTTGATGAGATGGGTGAAGGACAAGAAGTGAGTTTTGTCAATTACTGTAGATACAATTTTCTGATTCAATCTGGAAAAAAAGGCAGCCTGTTCTTTCTGCTTTTATTGTATTAACAGCTGAGGTAGCTAAAGTTATTTAAAATAAAATTAAATTTATGATCCAAGTAGCTTATTTTCCCCTTTAAATCTCACTGTAAATATATTTGATTTCTTGTAGAAATTGATTTCCTTCTGTTTAATTTTATGGTTTTATTATCATACTCTTGATTTTTCTAAATTTGTGTGTGAAATATAACATTGATTGAATTGCAGTTACATTTGGCTAGTAATATTTCATTATTTTAATAACTGTGACGCCATGTATGGATTTACTTTGGGGTTCAAATCAAAATGCCACTGCCAGAAAGAGCTGTTCCAGGTGAGCTAGAGCACACTGCCCTAGAGTGCCCCTGGGATCATGCAACTTGAGAGCAGTGCAAGGAATTATCACCAGAAGTACACAGGCTACTTGTACAGAGAAAAATTAGTACTCCAAGAAAATCTTCATTTTTTTTTTAGGTTGACTTTGGGAATTCGAATTTTCATCAGTAAAAATATAATTTCTCTATCCTGCTCTGAGGGTAATTGGTACCATATTTTCCCTTTGTGTCTTGTCACTCTGCCAAGTCTTATCTCATCCTGGTCTCTGAGTCAAGGACCCAATGAACTGACTTTCTAGTTCTAGAAGTTCCACCGCAAGGCCAGGAAAACTTGAGAAAGGTTTTGTGGAAGAAGCAAAGGTAGACCCCATCACTCGCCTTTACCTGCACCTCTGGGCCTGTGAATGATGACAGCATCTGACATTGTGCACCAGCTACCTCTGCTTCCATGGTAGAGAAAAGGCCATAAGAACTAACAATGGAAGAGGAGCGTGGACTCAGACATCAAGGAAGAAGCCATTTTCCCAGGTCCTCCTTTCTGCATCTCACCACCCCTAGTTACAAATAACTCCATTGAACAGCATCTATTCAAAAACTATACTGAATAAAAAGATTGGTGGAAGGGCTCACATGGGTAGCAACTATGAAACAGAAGTAGGACACTCAGTTACAAACATTGTGTCTTTTAGTTTTTCAGAAAATGCATCCCTGATTTCATTCATTCCCAGCTTGAAAGCCCAGCCATATTACTCTAGTCCCTACCAAACTGCTCTACAAGGTCATTTCTGTTTTGTTTGTGATATTTAGACGTGCAAACTTCAGGAAGTTCACCTTTAACTTCAGCATTCCAGATGAAGTTTCCTGACCCAGTGCTTTTGCATAAGGAACTAGAAAAAAAAAGTGGTAAGGAAAATTGGAGATGCTAATAACATCCTCCCCCCATCCCAACTGCACCTTAAAGTATGCATGTCACCTTCAAGGTTTTATAATTGCACTGTTTGTTTTATGTATGTACAGATTAAAATTATTGCTACATTTGAGGAAAATAAAATTGCTTGCTTCTATGTAATTCCTGTCATTCCACAGGAAATTCACTTTTCCAGCTACTGAATAGAATTTGTTTAACAACCTCATGGGTTGCCTCTTCATTTACAGGGAAGAAATGAAACTTACATCCTGCAGGAATTAATAGGATGATAAAAGAAAGGATCCCTGAAGCCGAGGATCCTCAGATCCTCAGCCTAATGTGAACTAGACCACTGAAATCTGAGAAGGTCAAAGTGAAGTCGTGATAGTGGGCCTTGAGGAAATTCTAACTTTGACCGTTTGTCTGATAATTAAACACTCTGGTCCTGCTGTTTCTTGGCCCAGGAGATCTGGTCCAGACAGCACTTCATGGCTACAAGATACCGTATCTGTCTCCATCATTGGTTTTTATATATTAACATTTATTATTATTATACAGATTATACAAATATTGAATCTTAGTTCAGGAGGCTCCTTCAATCTGACAATGTATTTTATAAAAATTAGGCCCTGTTTCTTGTTTGTGTGTTTTTAAGGCGGCCTAAATCCACCAACACTTGGCTAAGTAGTGCCAGGGTAAGGAGGATAAACAAATGTGATTCTAGAGGGCAAGGAAGGGTGTATATCCCACATTCCTACACATAAATACACACAGATTTGGTAGCTCTTGTCTGAAGTCATATTTATGGGGGAACAAAACCTTTTTTCCCAAAGTTAGGATAAAGTAAAAATAATACTTCTCTTAAATGAGGCTGAACATTGATTTAAATTTATCCTGAACTAGGAGTGGGAAGGCCATTAGAAAAACAAGTAGAAACAACTGAGGAAAAAGTGAGGTTGATATAGAGAAACTTCATCTTCTTTATGGTTTTGCCTAAGATAGGTTCTGTACCTAGAAACTGTCTCCTGGGCTCTGACAATCAAAGAAAAAGAAAGGACAATTGTCTGCTTACAAAGGAAGATGTGCTGATTTCCTTGTTGACATTAACTGCTCTTCCCAGAAGAGCAGCTCCACTTGAAAAAAGTCAGTAATTCAGAGCAAGCTTCATCCTTGACCGTTCCTGTACTTCTGAAAAAGATCTTGGTGATTTAATTAAGCCCATGAATTCTTTTTATTGGAGAAAACTGCCAAAGGAAGCATTCTTCCATCCAGAACCTTTTCTGCCAGCACTAAATTAGTTTTCTTTATATATTTTATTTTCATTGCCACAAGAGCTTTTAACAAGATTGAAGAATCACAAAGCTCTGGCCTCATTCACTCATTCGACACATTTTAATGTCTTTATTCAAGGCACTAGGGTTATGGAAGGATCCAGACAGACATGGACCTGCCCTCCCAGAGCTTGTATTCATGTGGAGGGACTTACATGGTTATAATCACAGTTGGATTATAAGTGGTATAAAGCAGAGTTAGAAGTTGCTTTGTGAGTGAGACCTTGTCTGGAGAGTCAAGGAAGGTTTCCTTGAGGAAGAAATGGCATTTGAAGTGAGGTTTGCAGGGTGATGAGGAGGACGCTCAGTGAAGAGCAGAGTGAGGAGAAGTCTTCTGAGGAACAGCACGTGTGAAAGCCTGGAGACAGGAAGGAGCCCCAGAGAGGTGGATTTTTAAATTGGTAACCAGTGTTCTTGAGTTCTCATAAACATTTTATTAGGATTATGTCAGCTGGTGGACTGGAAAGTAATTTAAATCAGCCTTTGGCTCCAGAAGGAACATGAACTAGGCTCTGGGATCCTCACTTGGAAATTGTGCCAGCCAGGAGCTAAGGTCTCTTCCATAACTAGCCCTATCCAGCCAGAAGTACAGGCTTTTATATCTTTTACATAATAATATGTTGTAGCTGAAGACACTATTAAAAACATTCAGGGAAAATAAATTTGTACTGTAACAATTTCTAAGGTGCTTTTAGGTACATTATCTCATTCAATCCTCTGCAGTCCTTTGAAAGTTGTTGTAAAGAGAAAACTATAAAAGGTTATGACACAAACACTGTTTATCAGTGGAATTGGGACTTGAGACCAAGTCTTCTAATTCCAAATTCTGGATTCATTATCCTGGACTATATGATTTAGAACTGATTTGGAATCTGCAGACTTGAATCTCATTGTGTGACCTTAGGCAATGCTTTCTTATATGAGTTAACTTTTTAAAAAAGGCTTTGAAAAGAGAGGTGAGAACTTAAGAGCTGAGAAGAGAGGACCTGGCCCTGCTCTGGAGGCAGGCAGAGCCTGACCTTTGGAGGCCTAAATAAGGATGAGCTTTGGCATAAGGTCAGCAGGGTGTCCCACTACAGTTGTGGGAGAGGCATTCTGTCCCTGCATATCTAGCCAGGAAATGAAAAAGGGTCCATGAAACTGCAGTTTCCTCTCCTGAGCTTAAAAGAATTTTGGAAAATGTGGGTTCTTTGTGGGGCAAGTATAAAGTGACAGAGGATCCTTATTGTGAGACAGGAAATTTGGTTTCTTGGATCAGATCAGGGAAGCATTCACTTTTCTCTGGCTACTAATCCATCTGCAGACAAGAATCTTTCTCCTATGCTAGAGTTTGGCTCTGGTCTAATCACTTGTGCTTGCCTCAGAACTATGGTAGTTTGTGCAACCAACAGAAGCAAGCAACGCCCACAGTTATCTGGAACAAACCTGAGACATTGGTCTGAGAAAAGAATTAAAATGTTAAAAGGAATCGTTTTTATTCCGTCAAGTTTTCCTCCCACTCCAATGCCCAGAGATCCTAAGATACAGAGTAAAACAAAAAACCTTGGACCAAGGTTTTGGTATTTATTCCATTTTTGATGAGCTGTTGCAGTGCAGATATTGTGATAGGCCGTATGGAGAATACAGAGATACTTGCCTGAAGCTGCTTCCTTCCTAATAATGGAGATTCTACATCAGTTAAGAAATACTTTTTCTTTCTACTCTGCCAAGCAATATGCTAGACTAATACTCTTGGCTAATAATTTCTTAGTTTGTACAGCACATACAGTATGTCATTTGATCTTCAAAATCCTATGAAGCAATTAGAGTAGGTCATAGCCCCATTTTACAGATGGTGAAACTGAAGCTCAGGTTTTTGGTCAGGTAGCCAGGAAGTGCTGGACCCAAAAGTCAATCCTTGGGCTTTGGGATGAAACCTACCATTGTTTCCACTGCACAATACAACTCTTAGAGATAAAAGCATATTAGACAGTAACACATAAAGATTGTGGGAATCCTGATGAGGTAAAATTGTTCTCTGGAACTCAAGTTCCTTAGAAGTCTGTTGGGGTTTCCATTTTGAAAGTAAACTGGGCACTAATTTTGAGTTAAAGTACTGATTTTTTTCATGTTTTAAATTTGTGTGAGGGTAATAAGTTCTCAAGCAAGTCCCTATACTCTCCCTGAATTATTTCATCTTTTCCCTTGAACTCAGTACCACTTACATTAATATGCATCTTAAGTCCACCCTTCTAGCCAAGATCTCTCTCAAGATCCAGTCCTGAATTTCCAACTGGTAAACATTACCACATGGCCTCCAGCACCTCAAACTTAAGTCCCAAACCAAATAACTTCTCCACAAATAACCTTCTTTTATCCCTTATCTGAATTAATTGCATCATTTTGTTAGTGGTCATTTTCTTTCTTTTTTTTTTTTATAATTTTATTTTTTTTCCCCCCCAAAGCCCCAGTAGATAGTTGTATGCCATAGCTGCACATCCTTCCAGTCGTTGTACATGGGACGCGGCCTCAGCATGGCCGTAGAAGTGGCGCATCGGTGCGCGCCCGGGATCCGAACCCGAGCCACCAGCAGCGGAGTGCGCACTTAACCGCTAAGCCACGGGGCTGGCCAAAATTAGTAAGGCACTTTAGTGGTCATTTTCAACAACTTCCTCCCACTCATCTCACCAAATTGCAAAAAGTTATCCTTTGAAGTGCTTCACAGCTATCTTCTCCTTTCTAATTCTATTTATCACAGACCAAATTCAGGATTTAATTATCTTTCTTTGGATGATTACAATAACCACCTTTATGCCTTTTACATTCATTCTTCACAAAATTATCAGAGAAATCTTTCTAAACATGACCTTCAGAATCTATTAGTGACTACTTTTTGCCTATAGTTGATTTGAAATCAACCTAGCTTTTAAGCTTCCTTACTCTCTACACCTTCTCTAAAGAAGTGGTCTTTATTCCTGATTTTACTATCTATGTTCTCACTTCCATTGCCATATTTATTGTCTTTCTTCAGCCTGTAATGCTCCTACTCGTCCTTCAAGGCTTCAGTTTAGATGCCCTTTCCAAGAAGACTTCATTGGTCCCCACACTTAGAGTAGCCCCCTCTTCTGTACTGTCTTGCTGCAGTGTTTGGGCCTCCATTTGGCACTTGGTTATAAATACATCTATTTTCTCCATCACCAAATTATAAGCTTCTTAAAGAAGAGGTCCACATCTCTCTTTTTGTCCCCTACTATGTTCCTTCCACCTAGTAGGCTCTTAACTGCTGATTGAAGAAATAGGTTCAGAAGCAGTATTTTAAATAAGAGAAAGGAGCTGATGCACAGACCAGGCACTGAGTTGTCTTCCTAAAGACCTGATTGTTGAGCTAATGGAAGATTGCAAGGTGTCAAAGAGTTCAAGACAATGTCATGATTCTGTCTTGCTGATTGTTCCTTTTTTTCATGAAATGTGAGCCTCCACAAATTTGGAGAATTTGCAGAACATTAGCAGTTATCTTTAATACTTCCACTTTTTAAGGATGGTGTTTTAAAAAAAATTAATGCACATGTAAGTTGCTCAAAAGTTACACTTTTTCATGCTCTCAAGCTTTATATTTATAGTTGATATATGCTTTTGTTAACCTTTACTTTTCTCAGAAATTACCTCTCCACTGAAAATCAGCTGATTGGGTTGACTATAATCCTTTCCAATTACCCAAAATGAGTATATCAGATGCCATGCTATCTCTTTCACCTACAATATAATGCTGCTGAGAAGTGATTCATGATAAAATTAAATAAGAATAAGATGGCTCTTTGTGAAATTTCTGTTAGACTGGCTTTTAAAA